GCCTTACATAACGCAATAAAAAACACATTTTTAAGATTTAATTGAGGCTTATGTGGTCTGACAAGACTAAATTAATAGCTTTTAAGCAGATGGCCGGGCATGGTATTGGAATAAAGGCCCAAATTAAGCCTAAGCGCATCATGTAAGGCAAACTGTGAATCACAGTGGTCGGTCAATATTAGTTTGGGGTTGTATTTCAAAAATGTTGTTGATCCGTTTGTACGTATTATGCGTAAGGAACAGTATCTGTTCATATTTCAACAAAATTTGCAAGATGTAGTCGAAAAAATTAGAGTTTCTGCTGAAAAAGCAACCAAAACACACTGCACATGTTCGCAAAGACTGGAACAAAAGCAGAAATTTGCTAATTTGAAATGACCTCCACAATCCGAGGACATGAATCTCATCGAGAATTTGCGAAATCAACTAAAAGCGCATCTTACTAAGTATCCAAGTCCGTCCAATGGAGTACGTGAGCTGTGAAAGCAAACCAAGGATATATGGGAGGCTATACCTCCAGAATTTTTACAGACATGCACATTAGGTATGCCAAATTGCAACCAGAAATTAAATAAAGCAAAACCATACCGAACATTGTGTTAATAATTCTTTTTTTTTGTGAAAATTGTCAAAAAGTTATTAAAAATACATGAGTGCAAAACTGTAACATATGCCTTAATTTACATTTTTGTCTGCTGGTTTCTTTAATGTTGTTGAATTGACTTCAAATCGTTATGACAGAGGAAGCAAAGATGTACCAATAAAAATACAGAACAACAGTATGAATGTCGTTAGAACTTGGAAAGATAGCGACAGCTGAAAGAAAAGGGGTTACTCCATGTTACAATTTTGCTCGTCACTGTACCTTTTAATGATTCATTTCAATTATTGCATAATTTGAATTTGATTTTTTAAACACACCTCAAAAATATTCAGAATTTTCAAACTGATTATTTCTTAAAAATCTATTCTATTCTATATTATATGTTCTATGGTATGTTATGTTTTGTTATTTTATGTAATGTTATATTATGCTTTGCCACGTTATGTTAGGCTATGTTATGTTATGCTATGTTATGTTATGCTATGTTAAGTGTTGTGCTATGTTATGTTATGTTGTGTTGTGTTATGTTTTGTTGTTATGTTATGTTACGATATTTTATGTTTTGCTTTGTTGTCATGTTATGCTGTGTTACGTTATGTTGTTCATCACTTTTCACCTCAACTCACCACACATCTCACTTCAATTCACTTGAACTCACCTCATCTCACCTCAACATTCAAACTATCATCTTTTCTCAGTTCACCTTAACTCACCTCATTTCATCTAAACTCACACCTCACTTCAACTCACCCAAACTAATGTTATTTCTCCTAAACTCACCGTATCTCAGCTCATCTTACCTCACCTAAACTCACCTTAACTTATCACCTCCCCTGAACTCACATCACTTCAATTCTATTCACCTTAACTGACCTCCACTTCTCTTAATTTTGGCGGTTAAATTTCAACACTAGAATTTAAAATAAACTCGATGCATACAACTGGTAAATATTAAATTTCAGCCGGGTTCTGAGCTACATGCAAAATTTCAAGTCTCTAGCTCATCGCGAAGTTGCTTAAAAGCTGATTGCAGAAATCTGGATAACAAAGCGAGACGATGTAAACGTGGCAATAATAACAACGAAGTAGGTTCCGGATGTTTTTTTTCTTAAAAGCCTTAATCCACAGCTTAACAGTTTTGTCACTCCCCTTTGATGAACCACTTTGAACCCTTGACGAAACTCGTCAGGCATCTAAGGTGTATGTATGTATATGTAGTATATAGTTCGTTTACAGCCTTCATTATATAGTTATACCTCAGCCTGTAAGAAACTACAGGAGTCCGGTAGCCGAAATGAAAGGCTCAAGGTAGAGTTGCGAGGGAATGTCCTCCTTCCAGCTCAGTTTTCTGTCGAGAATGAAGCCAAAAAATTTTGCCTTCTTCTCAAAGCTTAAAAGGCGCCCATTTAGTTCCAGCGGAGTTACCTTCTCGAAAAAGTCAGTCGACTTTGGCTTTCATGTTGCATACTTTTAGGCACACCCGTAAACCAGATTAGTGGAATTGAAAATTTATCAATTTAAAGTTAACTATGTATTAAGAAGTGATGAAAATTTAAATAAAACATATAAATAAATAAAGTAAATTTTTTGCACACCATAAATACGAAAAAGTTCAGCTAAATTCAAGTAAATAAACTGTTATTCCTTTAGTTATTGTTGTTCTATTTATTTGTAGACACGACAGCACACCAGCATTTAAAACGGTTCTCAACAAAATATTTGCATTTCGTGGCACATACCCCATTATCTGTGTATGTCCCATGTGTATGTATGTAGCTGTGTGCCCCTATTTGACTATAACGCTCCAGGCAATATTCGCGTTGTAGAGAAGCTGGACATAGTTTTTTTTTTATTCTTTCAAGCGACGCGAATGGAAAAGCTCAAGATTGGGAAGAATGTAGTGGAGTTGGCCGCTGTTGTTGGTGCCGTTGGTAGTCAGCATTTAACACGCTGCACATAAATAAGGCGACAAGCGCGACATGGCTTTGTCGTGGCACCACAATACTGTTAGCTGGTTGCTGTTGTTTTTGTTGTTGCTCATGCAAGACTTTGTTGCAGCAGCCGCAGCAGCAGCTGTGATGCTGTTGTTGCTATGTGTTTTATGCAAATTGTTATTGCCGCTGCTGCTCCTAGCGCTGCGGTCACTTTAACTAGCTTACACGCGCGGCTAGTTGGTTAGGCTGATAACTTTGGTGACTGCGATTGTTGTTGTTGCTGTAGCCGCCTTGTTCGGTTGGCTGGTGTTCATTGTCGCCTATGGCATTGCAGGCATATTTAAGTGTATAGTCATGCAATGTTGCTGTTGTTGTTGTTGCTGGTGCTGTTCTTCTCGCTGCTATTGTTAGCGATACTTTTTCATTGTTGCTAGTCATTATTTACCATTTTTGTTGTTGTGCTGCGCTGTGCTGTGCTGCGCTGTGCTGCTTTTGCAGCTGCTATTATTTTTGTTGTTGTTGCTGTTGTGGTGGTTCACTTTGCAATTGTTATTTACGAGCTTTTCGTGGCATTCTTGCACCCAGTCTCCAGTCTAGAGTCAAGCAAAAATCGCCATGCCCTCCCCTCTCTGCTACCACACCACGCTGAACGATTGCTGGTAATTATTATATTTCTTCGCTGTATTTCATTTGTTGTCATGGGTTGTTATTATTGTTTTTGTTTTTGTGCTTGTCTTGGCTGCTGTTGTGGTCCAAGCGTTCGTGCGCTGGGTGCGCTACGAATGCGTAGGTAGTGGCTATTAGTTTTGTGCAACTTTTTCTATTCTCTATTTTTTTCGAGTTCCGTTTTTGTTTGTTGTTGTGCTTGCAGTATCAGCGTAGACTCCTGGAGTCAATACAAAAGAATTTGGCCACCAAGTGCGCCAGCAGCAGCAGTTCTTTTTGTATGTATTCTGTTACTTGACTAAGCGACGGTAGCTCATTTATTTCACATTCCAGTTGTTTTGGACTTGTGTTTTAGCGCCATTGTTAACAGCGGGGTGGCGCTCGATGGTGTACGAACAAAAAGCAAAAAAAACAAAAAATAAAAGAATAAAACAAAAAATAAAAGAATAAAACAAAAAAAGTATAATTATGATGAAAGTGCGATCAAATTCATTTATTCTGCGGTCCTCCATAAGCGATTACCATATACAAATTAAAAAATTTTTATTTTATATTGAATTAATACATTTTTTAAGAAAATGGTACCAGGAAAATTATTCACTAAAACGGTCCTATCTGACAATCTCGTTGTCGGTCACACAACAAACTTTGTTAAGCAAATTTTAGCCTTTTAGTAATTTTCTTCCAGACGCTATATTTTCTAGAGGAAAATGAACAAAAAAATCTCAAAAATCAATCTTAACTTCTAAGTGTTTCAAGCTTGCACTTTACTACACTAAAATTGAATGGGCTACATGTTTTTTTATCCTTCCAGTGTCTGTTACTGTGAAAATTCAACCGTTTTTCTAGGTTTGAAGAGCTTTGGCGATTTTTTTCAACTTACAAGGTACAATGTTAAATACTTACCGGAACTAAAACGTGACTACCAAATTTATACCTTTGAAGTACTTCAGCAAGGCCTGGAATTGATTCGAAATGTTTTAATTTGTCGACAAGTTTTTATATATCGATAACTCGATGACTTCCATAAATACTAAAATCCGATAACTAAATAAAGTTGGACCACCAATAGATGAGCATTTTGGGGACTCGATGAATCTCGGTAAACCAAAACTTTACACATCTCAATGTAAACCGATACATCGATAACTCGATAAACTGAAGATAACTATAAATTTCACCCGATTATTTTGACATAAATTTTAATATCTACCGACAAATTTCGATAACTCTTTACACTCTGGTAACTCGATAGAATTTGATAAACCGATAAACAGTGAAAACTCGATATACTTCTGTGTATATCCTTAAAAATTTCGACAGCTCGATATACTTTTCAAATCCAAAAAACTCGCTCAGCTCAGTAGAAAAATGTATTTGGCTGTAAAATTATCTTAATAAATTTCATTTGGTAATATTATTTAAATTTTCGTGTCATTTTTACATTCAATGCATTTATTTTAATGCATAGGAGGCAACCCTACTAAATAATGTTTCTTACTATCGCTCGAATATTATCACAAAGTTTTTAAGGTTTGCTGGGTAGTCATTTTGGTATGTATCTTGTACCCAGATATCGAAAAACATAGCCCTAAAACGATTTCAGTTGCCAAAAACTTTTTAGATTTTTGCTAGGATACTGAAAATGGACTTATTTATCAGTCAATTCCTTAAAAAAAATACAAATAAATTATTGTTTACAGAATTTAAATTAGAGATTTATATAATCTAATATTAGATTTTAAATTTTCACTCTTGTAAACATTGAATTTAATTCCCCCTTATTTCTCTTTCAGGCTGTAGCATCATTTTCTGCTAACAAATTATACACCAATCCGTTCTTATTGCCGCAATTGCCCACAACAGCTGCCGCTAATGCGCTCTAAATAAAGCGAAATACCATAAGTGCCATACACAAACAAAGAAAAGCCGTTAAAACGTAACGCAAAGTAACGCAACGCAACGAATTCCGTCCACATATACTGAGATTCTTAGTGCCGTTTACAAAAGTAAAAATAAAATCAAAAAAGTTTTAAACAACAAGCAACGCATATAACTTTAAGAAATTAGTAATTAAGGATATAGGACATAGTCAAGAAAAGAGCTTCCAAAAGTTAAACGAAAAAGACAAAAATTATTAGCAGTAAGTTTAAAGTAGCACTAAATACAAGAAGTAAAGGGGAAAACATATTAACTTAGAAAGCCATAGAACGTAAAAAAGGATCAGCGAAGCGTAGCTTAGCAGCATTGAAATCATTTGAAGGCTTAAACGTACATGAAAGCTCTTACCAACGACGTGGCACACGTGAAAGCTTGTCATTGCGCTCGAAAGCTCTTGCAACGTTCAAAACGAGTATAAAAAGCTGCGCGAAAGCTTCGCTCAAAACCACATCTATACCACTACGCGTGCTTCAAACTGGAGCTTAAGCATAAGAAGCATAAGATGTCCGCATCGCCCGCCACCACTAGTGTCATCACCTCAAACGAACTTGCCATACAACAGCAGCAACAACAGCAACAGCTCCAACAACAACAGCAGCAACAGCAGCAACAGCAGCAGCAGCTTCATCAACAGCAGCATCTACAGCAACAGCAACAGCAGCAACATCAACAGCAACAGCAACAGCAACAACAACAACAACAACAACAGCTACAAACGCACAATTCCCCAACACGCGTCTCACTCGCGTCTGGTGCTGTATCTGTCACTAACGTTGTAACCACCACCTCTTCAGCTGCAGCTGCTGCCGCTGCCGCTGGCGCCAACGGTTTGTCCCTCATGCATCGCTCACCGGATAGTCCACAGCCCGAGTTGGCCACCATGACGAACGTAAACGTACTCGATCTGCACACAGACTCCTCAAAACTCTACGACAAGGATGCAGTTTTCATCTACGAAAGTCCGAAGGTGGTGTTGCCCACAGTGGGCTCAGGTGGTGCGACGGTGACCAGTGATGAGCATGTGATTGATGCGCGCATGGTTGCCCAATTGAATGAACAGCAAGCAGCTGTTGCCGCTGCCGCTGCAGCGGCCGCCGCCACAGAAAATCAGCCCTTGGCCAAGATCGAATTCGATGAGAATCAGATAATACGCGTAGTTGGACCGAATGGCGAGCAACAACAAATTATTTCACGTGAGATTATCAACGGTGAACATCACATACTGTCACGCAATGAGGCTGGCGAACACATACTGACACGCATCGTTAGCGATCCGACAAAATTGATGCCTAGCGATAATGCTGTCGCTGCAGCGATGTTCAATCAGGCACAGAAAATGGCCAATGACCATGGAGTCTATCAGACTTCACCATTGGATGCATCAATGTTGCAACATTATGAGCCGGATAGTGTTGTCAAGGCGGAGGTGGATATATACGATGACCCGAAGAAGCCGCCGGGTAGCGGAGGTGGCGGCCAACAAATACTCTATACTACAACTGGACCAGATGCTGGAAAGCAGCTTTCACATTTGCCTGTAACAACGAAGCTGGAATCGGATATGTATCCAACAGACAAGCATATCGATTTGATTTACAATGATGGCAATAAAACGGTTATCTATACGACTACAAGTGATCAGAAGGGTCTAGAAATTTACTCGGGTAGTGATTTGAGTGGCCTGGTTGCCGATGGACAGGTAGTGGTGCAGGGTGGATTGCAGTATGCTGGCGCAGGAGGCGCAGGCGGTCAGCCTGTTTACATTGTGTCCGATGGTAGTTTGCCGCCAGGCGTCGAGGGACATTTGCAAAGGTGAGTGGAAATTGGCTTTTATGTTAGATTGGAGTTGGTGGGTTTCTTTCTCATAAAACAGAAAACATCTCTGGTTTGTTGTAGTGTGTCACTTTGTCAGCACTGTGAGTAGGCTTGTCAAATTGGGACCATATCAGTTTTACCCAAATTTTTTTTTTGGATGGGTCCAACTGCTTGCCAAATATCTTAAAAAACTCGTTGATTACTGGCATAGGCAGAATTTCACCAATCAACTTCGGCGATTCTCTGAACTCCGTATACGCTATAAAAAGTTGTACCCACTGGGTATCTAAAGGGATATCAAGTGATCGAATTGATGGACTTACTTAAATGCAGGTCTATAAATCAGATATTTTTCTTTAACATCGTTGTTAAAATATTTTAAATGTCACTAGAAGAGCGATTCAAATGTATACTTAATAACAAATGTATGTCTTTACATAATATGTTATTTTTTATCATATACGAAAATTTAAAAAAAAAAAACAAATTATTGTTAGTCAAACATACATATTTCCAGTATATCGGAGAATCTCGAAAGTTTTTAACCGTAACTCGAATAAATTAATGGCAAACCCGTAGCGCGATGATTTTTCCCTCCGCCCGTTGGCTCCTAGACCCGGAAATTTGTGAAGCATATATTTACCTTACTTATTTATGTACATAAATATACTTTATAATAGATATGTGTATGCAAATGAGTGATGTATAAAAATTCTACAGCGGAATTTTATTTTCTGCTACGATTTTTCATGTCTGACAGGCCCAACGGACCTCAGATTCGGTTTAAAAGCACACACCACTTTTTTCTGTGTGCTATGTATATTATCTATGTATATACTAGCTATTATTCTGATATTTTTGTTTAACTGGAAATCTTATTTTAAGTATAAAAGCCAGCAAAAAATTCACTTACTGCCGTCAAACGCCGTTTTCTTGAATGGTAGGAAAGAATCCATTTTGGTAGGCAGCAAAAAAAGTTTTTCAGTGGTAAACCTGACTGCCGTACGCTCTGATATGTATATAAGTACGCCACAATAAATTTTTTAAACCCCTTTTCAATAAAACATAGACCGATTTGAAGGATGTAACTTCGTCAAATCCCGAAATGTTATCTCCGATAAATATGGGGCGTGGAATATTTCGCATACGCTACGCTATAACTATAAATATATATACTAGGGTGGGTCGATTTTGTATGGGGGAAAATGAAAGTCATTTGACCGTATTGTAATAGTAATATTATGATGTCTTAGGTCTAAGCCAATTGTTATTGGCCACGAAAGATTAATTTAAAACTTATCTTTAGCCCGCCCTATTGAATCAAATTGTATGAATTTTTAAAATTGAACTTTGGCTTTTAATATCTATGGTTTGCATTAATTGTTATAAACAGGACGATATATCAAATTAAGGGTTATTAAATTTAGTATCTCACGTTCATTTATCATTTTTCAATAAGTCTACACTTTTTTAAGGTATTAAGATAAAACTTACAAAAACTATAATTTTCCTTTATGAATTTTCAATTCTTCATTACTTCAGCAACCAAGTGAAAAATTCAAAAAAGTGAGACGAGATATATTTCAAACGTTCTAATGTTTTCGGATGTTTATATAATATTAAGTGGG